TTAAAAATAAAATTAAATATATATATTTTTAATTTTTTAAAGAATCTCTACCTCTACCTCCAGCTTGGAATGAGGGAGAAAGACTTCCAAATACTGTGGGTAAGGGCCTTAATTACCTTTAGAGTGAAGATGAAAATTCATTCAAAGGAAATTCATGACTTTTTATCCAGTTAGTGTATCAAGGTTTTGAAAACCATGTTAAACTATCCATAGCTGCTTAAAAGACAAAAGTGAGACTTTTGACAAGCAGGTCAATGCCAGATCTACATAAAGTGTAAATTAGGAAATGATGGAGTCAGACATTTTAATAATCTAGTAAAATGTGCATTGTTTACCTTTAGCAGGAAAAAAAAATTATTTAAAGACAAAGGAAACAGGGCAGGGTAGAAACTTAAAAGCAAAACTAAAGATTGACAAACTATGACCTCTGGGCCAAAGCTGGTTTTTGTAAATAAAGTTTTATTGAGACACAGTCACACCCACTTATTTACATACTGTCTCTGGCTGCTTTAGAGCTACCAAGGCACAGTTAAATACTTGTAGCAGGGACTATATGGCCCATAAAACCTGAAATATTTTTTATCTGGTCCTTTACAGAGTAAGTTTGCCAACCACTGTTACAAACCAGTGAAAGTCCTAGGAAAGATGAGAGCATATTTCCAAGTAACTAGAGCAGTAATACTGAGGATTAAGTGGAAGGAAGAATAAACTATATTGTCTACTTTATATCAAAATACCACTTATATTGCAAAGCCTAACCTAGAGAAAGAAAGGCTCTTAACTGATCATTGAAGTTGTTATTCAGTGGGTTTTGAACATTTCTGATTTTCTTTAGATCTTCTTTATGATTAATTCTATTAGATATGGCTTCTACGCCAATACCAATTTAAGCCAACCTCATATTCCTGAGACTAAAATGGAATGCCGATGATTTTAAGAAGCTCGTCTACAAAGTCGGTTTTACTACAATAGACATTTGGGCAAGTGGATAATCAACTTTAGTGGTACTAGATAGCCATAGCTATGTGAATATAGGCAAAGAATGAAAAATGTTTTCTCAAGTTATAGGAAGCCAGATTCATAAGCATCCGTCACTTGCTTGGGCAAGTTACTGATAAACTCTGCAGAAAAATAACAAACCATGCGTCCCTGCATCTTGGCTGTTGAAAATGAGATTCTGTCTCTGATTGATGTTAGCAGAGAGGCTTGTAAAAATGCATTTCCAACTGATTAGTTCAGAAGGTGTCAATCTCATGCAGTTTTATGACCTGCAGACCACATGCCAGATGCACGTTTGGTTTTTATAAACTAACAAAGATGAATGATGAGATTTGAGCATTCCTGTTTGGCAACTGTACTGTATAGTGCCTAAAGGAAGGAATTCAGGGAGTATTATGGGGGACCAAAGGAGGGGGGATTTAACCTTTAACTTACCGGGTTAATGGAGATAAAATGTAACCTTTGGAGGTTTCGCTACTAAGTAGTTTCTAGTTATGCTTTAAAAATGAATGTAGGGGAAAAACTTGCAAGAATATCAAATATTTATATGGAATTACTCTCCCAAGCATACTCATTCTAAATCCATGGGGTAAGAACTCTTAAATACACACACACACACACACACATGTGTATATACATATATGTGTATATGTATATACACGTGTGTGTATATGCATATATGCATATGTGTGTATACATGTGTGTATATGCATATATGTGTGTATACATGTGTGTATATGTATATACACGTGTGTGTATGCATATATGTGTATATGCATATACACGTCTGTGTATATGTATATATACGTGTGTGTGCTCAGTTGTGTCCGACTCTTTGCGACCCATGCACTGTAGACCATCGGGTTCCTCTGTCCATGGAATTTTCCAGGCAAGAATACTGGAGTAGGTTTGCATTTCCTTCTCCAAAGGGATCTTCCCAACCCAGTGACTGAACCCATGTCTCTTGTGTCTCCTTCATTGGCAAGTGGTTTCTTTACTAGCTGAGCTACCAGGGAAGCTTAAATTATAAAACATACTAGAGATTCCTCATGAAGTCTCAACCGTCATGAGGTTGAGATTATAAATCATGAATTGTTATTAAAAGAATTTTTTAATTGTTTTTTTGAAGCTAAAGTGATTTGGGTGCAATAGGTCAATCATCTGCTACTTTAAAAATCTGAGTCTTAATAACTTCTGTGTCTTCGAGACAGATGGAGAAAAAATGCAGTATATTGCATATTATAACATATCCTTGTGAAAAATAAGCTTATAGCATAGTTTCATCTTTCTTCCACTAGAAATATTGAGAAATATTTAGACATTTTTCATCTTTGTGGCCTTTTGGTTAAAAAAGCAATATTTTGATAAATTTCTCTGAAATTTCAAAGCTCAGTTTCATTTGATTTTCTTAAAACATGATTTTGAATTTTTGTCACAGAATAGATATGTGCTTTCAAATAATTAACAATCCATTTTTTAGAAGTATAACAGACATACACATGAAAATGTAGCTATAATAAAGAAACTATAAGATCTGCTTATCAGAAATTCAGACTCATACATTTTCATGTATATAAAAATTATGGTGTCAAAACATTAAAATAGTCATGCAAAAGAGTTCAGCATCATACATTTAATTCTAATACTTATTAAGCTCTTTTTTTCAACTGTATGGGAAATAGTGAAATTTTTAGTTAATGTCTCTGGATAAGCTACATCTCTTTCAGTTTTAAGTGACAGAAAAGCCAGCCCAAACAGGCTTAAGAAAGAAGGCAGTGCTTTGACTTCTAGAACTGAAAAGCCCAGGTCAGATGCAGCTTATTGCAAAAGCCCCAAAGTTGTCTCTGTGACATTTTTTTTTTCTCCAGCTCTTGACTTTGACTCTTCTGGGAAGGCTCCATTCCCAGACAGGTTCTAATATAGTGGCAACTGGGGAAATGGGGTAACCCTAAGTTCACGGCCTTACAGCTCCAAGGCTGGAGGGATGGGGATGGGGCAGGATGGCTTTTTAGATAGTTCCTGAAGTTCAGTCCAATTTAACAGATTAGGTCCCATGTCCATTTCTGAACCAAACACAAGGGGAAATATGCACATAGACTGAAAGTTGGGGAGGACTGGCTATGCAAATGAAAATTCAGAGTAGCTACCCAAAGAAGGGAAAATGAATGTTAGGAGAAACCACGAGTGCTCGCAGCATTCTTTTTCAGGTGGGCAAAATGACTGAAGGACAAAGCCAGGCCGCTCGTCTCCTGTTTCTTACCTTATCTGTGTTGTGTTGACCTGCTTATAGACTGGGCAATATGATTCAATTGAGTTTGTTTTATTTTGTCTCAGTTTGCTGTCAAATAATGAATGGGCAAGCATATGTTCTATCAATAAGAGTAGCCTAAAGCAAAAAAAGAAAAAAAAGACTATTGTATTTTTTAAAAAATAAAAGTTGTTTCAAAACACCTGTATAAATAAAACATTGGTCAACCAGATATTTTCAGCTGAGTTTGCCATAATAGGATCATGCTGAGACCTGAAACTCAAGGTTTTAAGATTTTATAATGATTTTGTCCAGTCTCCCAATGGTGATTAAAGTCTGCAGAAACTAATGTTTTTATTAATCTGTACTGAGAAATATAATAGCCAAACAGATCAAAATTCATGTTATCAACTGGTCACTGAAAAATGACCTTAAAGAATAATGTCATGAAACCATTATCCTAACACTCTTATCTACTAATGGGGTGGTTCAAACAAAATTCTTACATGGCCCATTGAATATAGTTTCCTTTTGATGTTCCTGGAGAAGGCTCGGGAAGAGTCTAACCTTTATTCTTTTTAATGTCACCAACAGTGTAGGTCAATTTTTAGTGATAGGTTTCTTATCATTTTCAATATTATAGCTTATTTACATTAGCCATATTTTTATTAACATCTTCATTTTAGAGGAGGCATATTAATAGAGCTCAGGTTCCTCTTTAAATTTTGAGAAATGACATAATTATATTTGGAATATTCTTTACCATCCTTGGGCTTCCCTGGTGACTGAGACAGTAAAGAATCTACCTGCAATCCGAGAGACCCAGGTCCGATCCCTGGGTCAGGAAGATCCCCTGGAGAAGGAAATGGCTACCACTCCAGTAATTCTTGCCTGGAGAATCCCCATGGACAGAAGAGTCTGGCGGGATACAGTCCATGGGGTCGCCAAGAGTAGGGTACAACTGAGCAACTAACGCTTACCATCCTTGGGAAAATGATTTCCTTGAAAGGTGACTGGCTCATCTCATCTATTATATGTTAATTTGTATTAGTATTTCACAGACTTCCGTTTTCTGACCTTTTCCCGAATTTTAGGTGGGAGAACAGCCAGTCAGTGGAGTGGTCTGCACACACACAATAGTTACCAGTCGGTGGAAGGGTTTGCACACACACAGTAATTGTCACACACAGAAGTTGTCCAAGTGCGACGTTGTATTCGGGTGCAGTTGGTGGCACCTTAAAACAATTATAGCAGTAACACCAGAGTTCACCAATCACCATCACAAATACAATAATAATGCACAAGTGGAATATCACAAGAATTAGCAGAATGTAACAGAGACACGAAGTGAGCAGATGCTATTTGAAAAAATGGCACCGAAAGACTTGTTCCATGCAGTGTTGCCACAAACCTCTGATTTGTTAAAAAAGAAAAAAAGCTCAACATCTGCAAAGGGCAATAAAATGTGATCTGCCTGTAATACATTGTTCTAAACTGTCATTTTGTTATTTTTTTATTCAGAACCAACGTTATATAATTCTTTTCAGTCATCTCCAATGCAAACATTTACTGTCTGTGAAAGCAACTGCAGCTATTGTATTTGATTTCAAAAAGGATGCCAGAAATTACTGTTAGATGGGAGGAACGAATCGTTGGATGTGAAAAAAAAAATAGCCAGCCAGCAAACAAAACTTATTCTGCATCATGACCGAAAAAGAGGAATTTTCTAACTGGTTTACATCTCTCTCTACAGATGGACTCATTGACTGCATGGATCCTGACTGCTGTTTACAGAGTTCCTGCCAAAATCAGCCTTACTGTCGTGGACTGCCCGACCCCCAGGATATCATTAGCCAGAGCTTACAGTCACCGTCTCAGCAAGCTGCCAAATCCTTCTACGACCGCATCAGTTTTCTCATAGGATCTGATAGCACCCATGTCCTACCTGGAGAAAGTCCTTTCAATAAGAGGTCAATACACTTTTCTTTACATAGATTTGTAATGATATTATCACAGTTATAAGCCCTTAATATGAAATGCTGATGACTGCAAATTTGAGGAAAGTGCCTTTTTTAAAATGTAGTTTTTCATCATTTGGCACATCCTTCACCAAACTTCATGTTTCAAGCATTTTTGACACAGTTCAGGTACTTTGTCAATTTCAGTACCGGAAGCATAACAGGACATCCCATTAAGGAGTCAATAAATCCTCATTTAACTAGTTGATTTTCTTAGCACAGTTGGAAGTGTTTCAAAAGAAGCAATGAAAAGACCCCAAAAGGCAAAACAGAAGTGCACTTTTTTTTTAAGCTGAGCTCACTAAATAATATAAATTATGAATTAATGTAATGGAACTGCTAACAGCATGGCAGTAAGATTGCATGAGCTGTTGGCCTGGTGCTTTGTAGAGCAGTAATGACCTGAAAATAAACCAGTAAGTGAAAGCAGGTGTCTTGTGTCTCACTGAGCAAAAGAAGATGATTTACACCAGAACTCCTGGGTCTGCAGCAATTTAACAGCATTAATGCAGTTAGACCCAGCAGTTGATTAAAAGTTGTTGCACAAATGTTCCTCATTGCCCCCTTAAATCTTGTACTTCTCCTTCCCTGCGGGTTTCCGGATTGCCTTGGAATTAATTGGAAAGTATACTTTCCTTCATGCAAGCACCAGATATATGACTTACAAAAAAAATGCACAGTTTATAATTTAAAAAATTCATCTCTAAATTATTGGTCTTGATAACTCTCCAAAACCCAGATTGCAATGAATTAAAGCCCAGGGTAAACACCAGGTATTTCAAGAATGTGGATTGCAGTGAATTATAAGGAACACTGTCTTGGGAGTGTTTCCAGTCTGGTTTTTGTGAATACAAGTGCCTTATGATACTGTTATTTTATCCTTAGGTTGAATTATCTCCACATCATGATAATGTTTGTCTGAGGAGATAAATGTTCAGTCTAATTCTTCAACTTTTCTCACAGCCTCGCGTCCGTCATCAGAGGCCAAGTGCTGACTGCTGATGGAACTCCACTTATTGGAGTGAATGTCTCATTTTTCCATTACCCAGAGTACGGATATACTATTACCCGCCAGGATGGAATGTAAGCTAGTTCCAGCACCCTATCTTTCTTCAAAGTGTTTTAAGTATAAAAACTAGGCTTTTTTTTTTAAATCGCCAGGCATGATGCCTTAATGTCCCTTTTAGTTTGAAAATGCAGCAACTTTTAGACCAGAGATCTGTGACAGTCCGTGGTGGCAAAAATTTAAAGTTATATATTCATGTAGGTTTTTAAAAGTTGATCTCATTTTCTAAGGCATAATAAAAGTATTATGGTTTTATAGGAGAATGTTCTTTCTTTGTCTTAGAAGATTCATTTTGAAAAAAAACTTTTAATTTTTGGTCACACCCCACAGCATGTGGGACCTTAGTTCTCAGAACAGGGATTGAACAAGTGCCCCCTTGCATTGGAACGCAGAGTCTTAACCACTGGACCGCCAGGGAAGCCCCCATGTTGAAATATTTGAGAGTGAGACTTTGTAGTATCTACAACCTAAGTTCAGATGGTTCTAGAAAAGGAGTGGATAGATAAAGCAAACTTGTACAAATGTTACTAAGTTAGTAAGTATAAGTTGAGGATATATGCATGAGTTGGAATAAACTCCGAGAGTTGGTGATGGACAGGGAGGCCTGGCGTGGTGCAGTCCATGGGGTCACAGAGTCGGACACGACTGAGCGACTGAACTGAACTGAAGGATATATGGATGGTCATTGTATAATTCTTTTAATATTCTCATAGATTTTAAACTATTTCATGTAAAAGTTGGGAGAAAAAAAGGTCTTTCTTATAAAGCATGTGGATTTAAGGAGGCGAGTTTTGAAGGTCACACAAGATCCGGGTAATTCACTAAATATGTCTTGTGTTTTCCCAGGTTTGACCTGGTGGCAAATGGTGGGGCTTCTCTGACGCTGGTGTTTGAACGATCCCCGTTCCTCACTCAGTATCACACTGTGTGGATCCCATGGAATGTCTTTTATGTGATGGATACCCTCGTCATGAAGAAAGAAGAAAATGACATTCCCAGCTGTGACCTGAGTGGCTTTGTGAGGCCCAATCCTATCATCGTGTCCTCACCTTTATCCACCTTTTTTAGATCATCTCCTGAAGACAGTCCCATTATTCCCGAGACACAGGTAGAATATTCTAACCAGCAGTGCTTTTCAGTAAACCATTTTCAGATCACGTAGTTTCCAAAGAATTTTTTTGAAGGATTGCAGAATTACAGTGCTATCCTAAGTAATTCTCTGGAATGACATGTAGAATGTGGGGTGCGTATGTGTGTGTGTAGTAAATAAGAGTTATTATGTTAGGATATCTAACTATTTCTTAAAGATCTATTCAAAATACTTTTTTTTCAAGATATATCTGTGTCTATTTATTAGCTGTAGCCAGTTGGGCAAACAGCTTTAAGTGCAACAGCTAGTAATGTCTTTGTTCATTGATTCATTCATTGGAAAAGGCTTTTAGTGCCTGCATGTATCTGACCTCCTAACTGACATTATACCAAGTGCTACTATACGTGGTCATTACTCGTAATGTTTTACCGTTTAATTATTATTGTGAGCAGAAGATATGTTAGAAAAGGTGAATCTCCATAGAAAATGTTCATTAATTTTCTCACAGTATTTTTAAAACACAGCATCATGTCTTAAACCCTAATAATATAGGGTTAATGGTGTAGTTTGTAAAGCCATATTTTTCACAGGGAAAAAATTATTATGTAAGTTTTAAAAAGATAACCATGTTTTCACTATTCATTTTTATCTACTGAAATATCGGGGGGATCGTTTTTCTTCCTGTATGGTTCCAATTAGAAATAACTTTCAGATCTTAAAGGCAGGACATTAAGTACAGCAATAATGGACTTCATATGTAAACAGCTGAGTAAAAACATGTGGTCTTTAAAATACAACAGCACTGAAGAGCTTGGCTGCATTTATTCTTCAAATATTTATTGAAATACCTCTTCTGCACCAGGCGCTCTTATAAGGAGACAAAGCAGTACACGGATCAGAGGAAGTACCTGCTTCCAAGAAGTTTGCCAGTTTACACAGAGAGACTGAAAACAAACAAATAAATGTCAAGTTGTGAATAAGACTTCATTAAAATAATAAAGCAGGGTAAAGTGGATGGAATTGCAATTTTATATAGCATGGTCCCGGAAGATCTCTTCAATAAGATTACATTTCAGCAGAAACTTTGAGAAGAGAAAGAATAAACCTGGAAAATAGGTCATTCCAAGCAGAGCAAAGAGCAAGTTCAAAAGCTGCAAGGGAAGAACAGGCTTCCCTGCTGGCTCAGTGGTAAAGAATCCGCCTGCAAGGCAGGAGACACAGGTTCGATCCCTGCGCTGGGAAGATCCAGTATCGGAGGAAGTGCCAACCCACTTCGGCATTCTTGCCTGGGAAATCCCATGGACAGAGTAGCCTAGCGGACTTTGTAGTCCATGGGGTCCCAAAAGAGTCAGACACAGCTTAGCAACTGTACCAACAGAAGGGGAAGAACAAGAAGTGGGCCTGTTCACAGAACTGCAGAGAAGCTGGCAGATGTGGCTGAAATGAAGGAGATGATGTCACAGATCACTGAAGACCATGGCAAGGATGAGGGCTTTTCCCGTGATCATTGAGTAATGAGAAGCTGTGAGAGGATTTTAGGAGGATCAAATACAGTTTCTTATTTGCTTCTTTAAAAGATCATTGCAGTTGCTGTCCTGAGAATATGCTATTTAGGGCAAGGGTTGAAACAAAGAGACCAGTCCAGAGGCAGTCTCAGTAGTAGAAGAAATGATGGTGTCTTGGATAAAGGTGATTGTGGGTAGAAGGGGTAAGAAGCATACAGTAAAGCTTAATGGTTGGTTTTTCCTCTCTGGTTTGATTTGCTTTTCCACTAGTGCAAAATAGTATGGTCAAATTAAATTACCTAGGAGAAACACGTTTTAATGAGTTAAATTACAGATTATTTGTTCCCATGAAGTAAGCTAATGATGACAAAGACAGAAATCAGTTATTTAAAATTAGGAATAACATGATATTTTGAAAAAGAGATATAACTCATGGAAGATCACAGTATGTATTCATGAAGGTATCTATAGGAAACCTATCAAATTTATGTGAAATTATTTTGAAAATAAGAGGAAATAAATGATATGCTTTAAGTTATAATCACTTACATTTTCAGGGCCATCCAAGTCACCGAATCTGTTTTTCAAACTAAGCCACCAGTATTTCACCCCCAATGATACGGAACAGTGAGTTCTGTTCAGATGATTCACCCTGAACCCAAGGGTCCTACTTAAGTTATTAACATCTGTATGACAGACATACATCATTCCTAACTGTTTCATGTGAGAGGAGTTGGGAGGAAGAAAAACACTACTGAATACTGAATCGCTGTTTTAAGATTTTTCCAACATGAAAAGGTAGTCCTTTAAGTCTGAGTAATGAATATTCCTAGGGCAATCTGAGGAAACCTTTGAGAATGCTATTTAATTCTTAGTAGAGAAAGTGGTGAGCTCCTAGGGTGGATTCTTAAGCATAGACAGCATTGTACATCACACAAGATGTAGTAAGCCCGAGTGAGAGTGAAAGCGTGTCTCTCAGTCGTGTCCGACTCTTTGCAACCCTCTGGACTGTACCCCACCAGGCTCCTCTGTCCATGGAATTCTCCAGGCAAGAATGCTGGAGTGGATAGCCATTCCCTTCTCCAGGGGATCTTCCTGACCCAGGAATCAAACCCAGGTCTACTGCATTATAAGTGGATTCTTTACCATCTGAGCCACCAGGGAAGCCTGAACCTAAGAAGAGCTGCTATTATTAACCAAACTAATAGCACTGTTAGCAAGTAGAATCTGAATTATTTGGATTTATTTTATATACACCATAACATAGATTTTTTTTTTCAAAATATTAAAATCCTATTTCAACATAATGTATTTTGCATATGTCAGGATAAATTTACTGGCATTCATTGAGCACATCACACTGATGGGTACATTGTGGGGTTAGGAATATGATTTTTAAAATTTGTAACAGATGATTTTTATGCAGGTAATTATGTTAACTCTTTACACCCATTTCAATTCAAACGGTGTATATCAAGTGTCTTTTGCAGACATTCAACAGCACGTTAATTGTTCTCTGGGGGGAAATTTATGCAACTTGAAAATATTAGTTCATGTACCATCATATCAAAAATCAGCCATGAGTGCAAGCATAATGTTTAAATAATTATGGGAGTGTGCTGTTGTTATATTACCTTCCAAGGTGAATATGGAATTTGCTACAATTTAACCCAAGTGAATTGGTCTGTTTTGTTACCATTCCTGTCTTTCTAGGCTGTGACCAGTCAGCTGATGAGGCCATAGATGTAGGTTTAACCCCTAAATGAGCCAGCTGGCATGGGCCAGATCTTTGGCCTGGGCCATATTTCTGTGCTGAGCAAACCATCTTACAAATGTCTGCTCTAATTCTCCAGGGCAACGGGGGTGAAAGATGGGTTAGTGAGAATCCACTGTGACTATAAACTAACAAGTCAGTGCATGTCAGCCTGATGGAGCAGTCACAAAATTTCCTGTATGGGAAGTAACACCTGAACTGTGATTAATTCAAGATAAATGACAGGAAGCTTTTAGGAGGAGAAAAATTGAGCTGGCAGCAGCGTTATTTTTAATTATTGAATAAGATAACATCTCAAATGTGTTTTGTGGATACTGACTCTTTAGGATCTTATCTTATCGTTAATTGCTTTGCTGCATTCTTTTAAATGTATTTTACCTAATAGTCATACACGATCCCCGTTTGAAACTTCTGCTTTCTCTTTAAACCTAGGTCCTCCACGAAGAAACCACAATTCCAGGAACAGACTTAAAACTTTCCTACCTAAGTTCCAGAGCTGCCGGGTATAAGTCAGTACTTAAGATCACAATGACCCAGTCCGTTATCCCATTTAATTTAATGAAGGTGCATCTGATGGTGGCTGTCGTAGGAAGACTCTTTCAAAAGTGGTTTCCTGCATCACCGAACTTGGCCTATACTTTTATATGGGATAAAACAGATGCATATAATCAAAAGGTCTATGGTCTGTCTGAAGCTGTTGGTAAGTCCCTTGTAAATGTATTATATTCTGCACCAAAACCACTGTGTTGAATGAGAATTAACATGAAATTCATTGTAACCCAAGGAAATCTGTGGATAAGCAGAGAGGATGTCAGTAAGGTTGCCTAGAAAGGTTGTAAATGGTTGGTTTAGATCTACAATAGGAAAAAGGAGTATATTCCATATGATGAAAGGGAATGTGAAATTTCAGGTTTTAACATTCTTTTTCTCATGTTTTTTTCCTCATCATGTCCCTTCCTTTTTTCATTTTCTTCTTTCCTTTATAATTTAATCTCAATTTTCATTAACCTTTTTTACATTTCAGTATCTAACAACATGTAGTTTCAAGTCATAATGATATTTTAACATGACATCAGACAACGTTTGTGTCCAAAAATTATTTCAGCTCTTCTGAGTGGAAGGACTGGTCAATTCAGCAGAATGATATTCATAAACCGTCAAACCAGTTGTTTCACTGCATAACAGGACGATGCAATCAGAGTTTGATCTGTTGAGATATGCATACTGTGGCTCCAGGCTCAGGCTCAGAATACCCAGGAAAACATGTTACCTGAAAATATAGTAGGCATTTTATCCTGAAATTAATATGTAATTTGGACTGGAATTTATTCAGATCAGATAATTGCCCCTTCTCCCTTCACTTTGTTCTAAGTTTTAAAACCCATGTTTCTTTGTAGACTCTGAAGTTTTCCTTTTGAGACTTGTTCCTGTCAATCTGCTGCTAGTTTTATTGTTTATTCCTGATAAGAGCATGTGAATATAATGTTGTAACCTGGCTATCTGTGTTTGCTCTATTAAACCTTACTTAGCGTTAATACTTTCCATAACTTAATACTCCCGGAGCCTAAGCATCTCTGATTATTCAGATAGTAAATGGTGCTTTTTGTTGTTATTGTCTGATCACCATTTGGGGCCGATTTATCCGCTCTAACTAATGACTTCCCCAGTTGCTCAACCTGAGCTTCGTTTTGTACTATGGACCCTTTGTGAAAAAGTGGTGTAGGGAAAAATACTAGTTTTCTATTAAGTCAATACAAAAATAATATTTGGAGATCTTTTTTTTTTTTAAGAAAACCACCTTCTATATGATCAAATCTTCTCATATAAAAAATGACTCTGTTCACAAATAAGTGGAAATATGGTCTCAGAGCACATCTGTGAAAAAAGCAGTTTTATCAAGATAATAAAATAAATTGCATTTCTGCCTGTGGTTGGGAAGATGAACCATGATTTGTTCTGATTCTAGTGTCAGTAGGATATGAATATGAGTCGTGTTTGGACCTGACTCTATGGGAGAAGAGGACTGCCATTTTGCAAGGCTACGAATTGGATGCTTCCAACATGGGCGGTTGGACATTAAATAAACATCATGTGTTGGATGTTCAGAATGGTAAGAGCTTGTCCACAGATAGTTAATATTATTCACTTTCAAATCAGTTAAATTGGAGCAAGATTTTATCCCATGCATGCTATAGGATCAGAATTAGCAGGAGGACAAAAAGTACATTTTTAAAGACTTCAGGGAATTCCCTGGTGGTCCAGAGGTTAAGACTCCATGCTTCCACTGCAGGGGACATGGGTTTGATCCCTGGTTGGGAAACAAAGTTCCCACATGCCACATTGTATGACCAAAAAAATAAGTAGATTAAAGACTATGAAAGCTTAAAATGGAAACTATGTAATATACTTCACAGTGTTCATAGTCTCATCACCAACATAGTTTTCCTAGAAAGTACTTGAGTTGATCCAGAGTGCTTTAGGTAGGTTTATGAAAAATGGAGGGAGGGAGATTTTTTAAGTAAAGAAAAAACTAAAATTCCAAGTGGCTTTACAAAAATATTTCTAATAGATCTTAATCTTTAAAAAAGTAGTCCGTTCTCAGTATCTAGAATTTTTCAGTTCTTCTTAGATTGCATTTGAGGGAAGAAAAAACTTCTCCCACTCAACCTGGGTTACATTAGCTGTTTTTTTGACTTTACAAATATTAGGAAAAAATACTCTGGGAAAAGGAAAGCAAGAATCAAAGAATATTACTTGTTGTAGATCTGATAGATAAATATGCTCTGAAAAGCACATGTCAGATCTCATAAACCAAAAAGATATAAATTTCTTGCAAAATGTGACCATGTCATAAAGAACATTAATTGCATTAAACAAATTCTGTTGTCTTTGCTGTATTTCTAACATTTACCCACATCCTGGCTAGCTTCCCTGGTAGCTCAGCTGGTAAAGAATCCACCTGCAATGCAGGAGACCTGGGTTCCATCCCAGGGTTGGGAAGATCCCCTGGAGAAGGGAACAGTTACCCACTCCAGTATTCTGACCTGAAGAATTCCATAGACAGCATAGTCCATGGGGTTGCAAAGAGTCCGACACAACTGAGCAACTATCACTTTTACTTTCTTTGGCTACATCTCAAATAATATACAGGTACATTCCCATAGAGAGAGGAGCCTGGTGGGCTACAGTTCATGGGGTTGCAAAGTCACACACAACTTAGTGACTCAACAACTTTGCTAAAAAGACAGAACCCTAAGGTAGCTTTCTCTAAAATAAGAGATACCAAGGGAACATTTCATGCAAAGATGGGCACAGTAAAGGACAGAAATGGTATGGACCTAACAGAAGCAGAAGATATTAAGAAGAGATAGCACGAATACACAGAAGAACTTAATGATCATACAAAAAAGATCTTAATGACCCAGATAACCACGATGGTTTGATCACTCACCTAGAACCATACATCCTGGAATGAAAAGTGAGCTTTAGGAAGCACCACTACAAACAATGCTAGTGGAGGTGATGGAATTCCAGTTGAGCTGTTTCAAATCCTAAAAGATATGCTGTGAAAGTGCTGCACTCAATATGCCAGCAAATTTGGAAAACTCAGCAGTGGCCACAGGACTGGAAAAGGTCAGTTTTCATTCCAGTCCCAAAGAAAGGCAATGCCAAAGAATGTTCAAACTACTGCACAATTGCACTCATCTCATGCAGGCAAAGTAATGCTCAAAATTCTCTAAGCCAGGCTTCAACAGAATGTGAACCAAGAACCAGATGTTCAAACTGGATTTAGAAAAGACAGAGGAACCAGAGATCAAATTGCCAACATCCACTGAATCATAGAAAGAGCAAGAGAGTTCCAGAAAAACATCTACTTCTGCTTCATTGACTATGCCAAAATCTTTGACAGTATAGATCACAACAAACTATGGAAAATGCTTAGAGATGGAAATATCAGACCACCTGACCTGCCTCCTGAGAAATCTGTATGCAGGTCAAAAAGTAACAGTTAGATCCGGACATGGAACAATGGACTGGTTCCAAATTAGGAAAAGAGTATGTCAAGGCTGTATTTTGTAACCCTGCTTATTTAACTTAAGTGCTCAGTTCAGTTCAGTTCAATCACTCAGTCATGTCCGATTCTTTGTGACCCCATGGACTCCAGCATGCCAGGCTTCCCTATCCATCACCAACTCCCAGAGCTTACTCAAACTCATGTCCATTGAGTCAGATGTATGCACACTACATCATGAGAAATGCTGGGCTGAGTGAAGCACAACCTGGAATCAAGATTGGCAGGAGAAATATCAGTAACCTCAGATATGTCGATGACACTCTTAGGGCAGAAAGCGAAGAAGAACTAAAGAGCCTCTTGATGAAAGTGAAAGAGGAGAGTGAAAAAGCTTGCTTAAAACTCAACATTCAAAAACCAAAGATTATGGCATCTGGTCCCATCTTGATGGCAAACAGATGGGGAAACAATAGAAACAGTGACAGACTTGATTTTCTTGGGTTCCAAAATCACTGCAGATGGTGATTGGAGCCATGAAATTAAAAGACACTTGCTTCTTGTAATAAAAGCTAAGACCAACCTAGTCAGCATATTAAAAAGCAGAGATAGCACCTTTGCCAACAAAGGTCCGTCTAGTCAAAGCTATGGTTTTTCCAAATAGTCATGTATGGATGTGAGAGTTGGACCATAAAGAAAGCTAAGCATCAAAAACCTGATGCCTTTGAACTGTGGTGTTGAAGACTCTTGAGAGTCCCTTGGACTGCAAAGAGATCAAACCAGTCAATCCTAAAGGAAATCAACCCTGAATATTCATTGGAAGACTGATGCTGAAGCTGAAGTTCCCATACTTTGGCCATCTGATGCGAAGAACCAACTGATTGGAAAAGACCCTGATGCTGGGAAAGATTGAAGGCAGAAGGAGAAGGGGATGACAGAGGATGAGATGGTTGGATGGCATTATGGACTTGATGGACATGAGTTTGAGCAAGCTCTGAGAGTTGGTGATGGACGGGGAAGCCTGGCATATGCTGCAGTCCATGGGGTCGCAAAGAGTCAGACACGACTGAGCTACTGAACTAAACTGAAATTAAGTCTTACCATGCTAGTAACTCTCTGCTCTTCTCTTACAAATAGCCAAAGAAGGAGATTTCATAATCTTGTCAAAATTAGCTTTTGTCTCATGAGAGGTTTTCAGAGGTACAGAATGTTGAGTCAAGCATCCAATACAACTAAATAAATATTTAACTATGATTGAAGGCTACTTTTTCTGATTAATGTTGCTTTGATACTGGTTCTTTTTGTTAAAAAAAAAAAGATCATTGGAGTTCAAGAGGATACATTTTAAACTTCTAAATGTGCTAAATCTAAATAGTTTCCAATCCAGGACTTGAACATTCTCTTCTGCAGAAGAGAACTGAATGAGTTAATCAATAGTAGGAAAAGGACAAATCAGCAAAACCCCTCACATCTTTTCTGGGGCATAGCAGTGCTAATGCTCTCCTTCCCTTGCAGGCGTGTCCTGGACGTCAGGTTCGGTTCACTTTGCACCCCCTAAGGTGCAAATAACAGAGCATATAACTAGTGCCACGTGTGATACAGACTTTGAAAAAGTGGGGTGTCCCAACCAAGGAGCTTGTCCCACATGTCCCTCCCTATCATCAGCAGTGTCTAAAGCAGTGGTGGTTTCCGCCTCTGATGTTAGCCACATGAGGCTTAACCTCGGTCTTTCAAAATGCAACGCCGTGTGCCGGCCATGCCAGGGCCACTCTTGATTAAATTGTCTACTGTTGTGACTTCCCTGGTGGCCCAGCAGTTAAGACTGTGCTGCAAAGGCAGAGAATGTGGGTTCAGTCCCTGTCAGGGAACTAAGATCCCACATGGCATAGCCAAAAAATTGAAATAAATAAAGGATACATTTTGATAGCCTCTCCAATTATAGTTCACATAGTTTGACATATGCTGTATTCCTCCTATTGCTGTGAAAGTTGCTCAGTCAGTGTCCGATTCTTTGCAACTCCATGGACTGTAGCCCACCAGGCTCCTGTCGATGGGATTGTCCAGGCAAGACTGCTGGAGTGGGTGGCCATTCCCTTCTCCAGGGGATCTTCCCAACCCAGGGATCGAACCCAGGTCTTCTTTGCAGGATTGATTCTTTACCATCTGAGCCGCCAGGAAAGCTTCCAGAAGTTCTTTATAAACAAACCCAGAGGAAAACCTCTCCGTGTGTTTTCATCATTATGAGATTTTAGGGTAAAGTTCATAACCGGTTAGCCACAGGATTTCACCCAAGAAATTATGAACCAGTAAAAAGACTACAAGCCGAGAGCTTCAGGAAAAACCACATGTATGGTATTCAGCTCTCAGTGTTAATATTCAGGAAGAGTAAGAAACTCATAAATATTCTGTGTGTGGATACATTTAATAAAAATACACACACATTCTTCCAGAGAATAATAGATGGTTAAATTTTATTAAAATAACAGGTCAGATGTAAAAACTGACCCCAAATTCCATCCTCCCAAAAAAGTTATAAATGATAAAATATATATTATTTTAAAAGGCAAGGAAACCTACTTCACAGACTGAACTGAATGTGATTTCAAATGTTATCCCAGATCAGTGTGACAGGTAGTGGCTTTTCAAAGTGACATGTGTCTAATTGAATAAACAAAGTGATTTGTAATCGTGACAAGGTGGACAAGCAATGGAAATACAGTAAGGAAGACAAGAAGGCAAAAACATAGACAGTGACAGGTGTTTGCGCAAGCAGCCTGGAACATGGAAATAAATATTCTAATGTTCATCTTTCTATTCTGTCATAATAGAGGAGAATCATGAAAGACCAATCGTTCTAAGTAATGACTGAATGAATCAGATGCAGGCGAGCCATAGGCTGACTTGTAGGAGTTTCTGATGAAAATTACAGAACTGGCTGTTCTAGGAAATTATAGTTCCATCACTGTCAAATAACGCAATCAGAGAAAGATCTTAGGGATCATTAATGTATTCTTTGAATATTCAAGGCAAAATGCTTTTTGTCTGTTGTTATGATCAAGCCTTATTTAGATGATTTTCCCTAAATTTGAATAAACTTGTTTTTTCAGTCCTGATTTCTTTATGTATATTGGCCATGATTCTTACATCACCCGTGTAGCAGAGCATTAGATAAGTAATAACAGAATTCACCTAAAATGTGCTGAGCTATAAGAGGAACACCATTATTCTGCTTTCTTCTTCACTTTAAAATTATCCCCAAATGGGAAGAAAAAACACTTTCTCAAGCTTCCTGTTGGTACTTTCTTGGGACTGATTCTTTTAACAGTATATCTGTTTAAAAAATGTATAAACAGCAGGTGGTTTACAGATAATAACATATTGAGAAGTGTCTTGAACGTGTGGAACAATAACAGCTGACCATCCAGTTGCATCATAGCAAAATGCAACGAGTGAACTATGTTTAATAATGGTAAATGAGTAAAATTAGAATCTCCACTCACATCTAGTTTCTCACTTTGAAAATATTTAAGATTTTTTTCTCAGCTTTTCGTTGAAGACCAAAATGGAGCAGACTGACATCTTGCCTTACAATTATTGGTATTTTCATGTCTAAAAGCAAAACTCACTTTAAATGATAAACTGCCCTTCCCTATTTTGTAATGTCTGAAATTTTGAGTAATTACATGTGCATGCATTTTCATATCAGGTTGAAGTATAAGCAAGAAAAATACTCTTTCACAGTATAGTCATATGTTAGAGGTTTGATATATATTTTCTAGCTTTGTTTTCTGTAAAGTGTATTTAATTTTTTACAAATCAGTGATAAACTCCTAAAGAAGAAAGTCATATTGTTGGTGCATATTTTTATTAGTTGGATTCATATGGAATGTTTTCAACATCATTTAACAATTAGGCAAACTTGCTGCCCCCTAAATAACATTGTGGGAGACCTGGGTTTGATCCCTGGGTTGGGAAGATCCCCTGGAAAAGGGAAAGGCTACCCACTCCAGTATTCTGGCCTGGAGAATTCCATGGACTGTATAGTCCAGGAAGTCGCAAAGAGTCGGACACAACTGAGCGACTTTCACTTTCAAAGAACATTGTGTAGAGATGGTTGTCAAACTTGGCTACATGCACATTAAGATCATCTGGAGAGTTTTTAAAAATCTCAATGCAAGGCTGCCCTCCTCCCCGCTCCCCCCTCCCCGGATCAGTTGCATCAAAATCCCTCGGGGTGAGATCCCAGCGTGAGTAGTTTATACAACTTCCCTTCAGTTCCTACGTATAGCCAAGTTTGAGAGTCACTGAGTCAGTTTCTAATTTTCCTTGTTAGGCCTTTGTTTCTTTCACCAGACATTCTTTAAACCAGTAATGGATAGCATTTTTTGCTCTCTCCTATATATCTTATTATATAATATTTTACACTGGATCATTGAATGGAGCGTTTTCTGATAGAACTTGGGATAAAAGTTTTCCCAGTCCAAATCGAAAAGGCACCAAACTGTGGCTTCTGTACTGAACCTGTTGACTTTTCATCTTTACTCCTTTTATCATAAGAAGAACACATTTTATCTCGTCCAGGTATCCTGTACAAGGGCAACGGGGAGAATCAGTTTATCTCCCAGCAGCCCCCCGTGGTCAGCAGCATCATGGGCAATGGGAGAAGGCGCAGCATCTCATGCCCGAGTTGCAACGGTCAAGCCGATGGTAATAAACTCTTGGCCCCGGTGGCGTTAGCGTGTGGGATCGACGGCAGTCTGTATGTGGGGGATTTCAACTATGTTCGGCGGATATTCCCTTCTGGAAATGTAACAAGCGTTTTAGAGCTAAGGTATGTCTCTCCTTATTTTGGGGTTTCTATCATAGTGAAACATGCTTTTATTTTAAAATAATGTTGCATATGGTGTACTAATTTATTTACTTAAACATACCTTTCTAGTGTTTAAAATTCTCCTTAGAAAGCAGTGAAATTCTTGGTTCAAATTTGGAAAAGCCCAACACGTGTATATTGTGCCCTAAATGTATGCAAGAGTATAAAATAACCTAGTATATAAAATCTCACTAATTCCAGTGAATTTTCTATACTCCAGGAAGCTAGAACTATGGGTTTTAAATTTCTTTAGTTATCTTTCGAAAAACCTTGTGATATAGGTTGTTAACACTTTGGTTGAAATTAAAGCATAAAGTATTTTCCTACAGTATTAGAACATAACAGTAAACAAACGAAGCCTATAACTTCCAACTAGAATATCAAATCTTCAAGTCGGGTTAACTCATTAACCATAATGACAGTAGTTAGAGTAACAAATTGCTATTTTTGCTTTGTTCATTTAAGCATGTTTATCAAAATCATTCTGTTCTATAAATTGTTTGATAAGCCTTGACCTACAAAATTCATTTCCAGTGTTAGTTCTGCTTAAGTTAGCAATTTTCCATAAAATAATTAAAATCTCAGTATTCAGTTCATTATATAGAAACCTTTTCTAACTATGCTTTTTTTTCTCCACCCTTTTTATCTGCTTCCACCAAGAAATAAAGATTTTAGACATAGGTAAGCATCTTGCTTAAAGGTTATTGTGTATTTTTGAATGTCCTTTGTATGTGTCAACATGACTCTCTGACATTGTTTTCTAAGAACATTTTATCATGAGAGAGGAAATTCAGCAGCAGAGAACATCTGAGGAATGAAAATTGCCCAAATGAACTATTATGATACAGCATATTGCAAAGCCCATATTGTGCATTATAATTTGAAAAATATTTTTGAGTTGGCTAGCATTAAATTTTGTCGCAGAAAACCATTATAATGAGCATCTCTGTGTAACAAAAAAGAAACCTGTAAATTTCAGGTACTGACTATAAGCCATATTGAACAGAACAACGTTTGAAGCACAGTTGAGAGTTTGAGGAGAGTTCAGTTTGACCAATAGCCAGGGCAGATCTGCTTTATGGGACCCAAAGCTCATTCAATTAGGGAGACTCAGTTAAAGGAAAGGAACCTAAAGATAGTTTACATTGGCAAATTTTTTAAAACATAAGATCCCATGAACATGCTGCCTGGGGCCCTTGCACTTGGAAGGAACTCATACAAGTGGAGGAGCCCTAAAGGTTAAGCTTTACTGACTTCCTGGTAAATTCATGGCTGCCTTAGTTTAAACTGTGTATTTAAACCCCATTTAAACTGTATGTTTTCCTAAGTTGAGAGAATTAATAGATTTGAGTTTTAAGAAGTAGTGTTTCCACTGACATTATTATGGAGGAAAAGACTTTCTTCAGGGCTCAGAATGAATGTCATTGAAGCAAATATATAGGCTCCAAAGTTTCCAGATTCTATTTGCTCTGTACACTTAGCTAAGAAGGTATAGAAAAGTTTGTATGATGTATGGGCACTTTTAACTGAGAAACTTTCCCTGAGGACAGCAAAAAAAAAAAAAAAAAGTCGGGGTTGGGGGGGATATGTTTGAAAGGAAAGCTAGCAAAAAGAAAAAAAGGCAAGATATATTGGACATGATCAATCTGGTTTGGCCATTGAAATAGCTAATACAATGATATTGGATAGAAATTAATCCAACTATCACTACGTGATAGTTAACGTGAAGTCCTTGAGATGAATAAATCCATGTGATTTAATTAAACCTTTGTGCAGAGATTGACAACCAGGAAATAAAAAACAAAGGTCAGCTGAAAGGTGTGTAGCTGTCACATATCCATACGACCCGTATCCACAGTCCCAAGACCTTTACCTAAGCTCCCCTGTTGATCTCACGCTATCAACTAGTAGCCCAGCCACATGCAGAAACTAGCAAGGAATTTCTCCAGACTTCTGAGCATGAAAAGCTCTGCTGTTAGAAACCACAGCTGAATATCAAAATTGTTCTGGCCTGGTCTTTTTAGTAACTGTGGAGAAGAGAAGACGAGCTGGTGTGTACACCAACTACATGCAGAAATGCTGGAGGCGATACAGAAAAAAATGATCAAAACAGCCACCTTTTTAACAGGCTGGGCTGTTCCACACCAGGCACAGTGCAAGACACGCAGCGTTGTACACCCAGACAGCAGCCCTGCAAGGTCACACAGGAACTAAGAGAGGCTCGAGGAGGTTATGCCTCTTCCCCCAAGGTACATAACTAAGAAATGGGGGGTAGAGATTTGAACCAGTCTGGAAAAGCATGTTCTTTACACTACACCACATCAGTTCAGTCCACTTAAGTCGCTCAGCCATGTCCGACTCTTTGCAACCCTATGCACTGCAGCACGCCAGGCCTCCCTGTCCATCACCAACTCCCAGAGTTTACTCACACTCATGTCCGTTGAGTCAGTAATGCCATCCAACCATCTCATCCTCTGCCATCCCCTTCTCCTCTGGCCTTCAATCTTTCCCAGCATCAGGGTCTTTTCAAATGAGTCAGTTCTTCACATCCAGTGGCCAAAGTATTGGAGCTTCAGCTTCAACATCAGTCCCTCCAATGAATATTCAAGACTTGATTTCCTTTAGGATGGACTGGTTGGATCTCCTTGCAGTCCAAGAGACTCTCAAGAGTCTTCTCCAACACCACAGTTCAAAAGCATCAATTCGGCGCTCAGCTTTCTTGAGAGTCCAACTCTCACATCCATACATGACTACTGGAAAAACCATAGCCTTGACTAGATGGACCTTTGTGGGCAAAGTGATGTCTCTGCTTTTTAATATGCTGTCTAGGTTGGTCATAACTTTTCTTCCAGGGAGTAAGCATCTTTTAATTGCTTTACACTATACCACATAGTCAGTTTTCATCTGTCCAAGCAGCCTGGTTTCTATAGGCTAATTCCCTGGATTTATAAAAAGCTAGATTTATTTCACAATCATTTGATAAATTATGTAGAACTGTCATCTCTCTAGGAAAAAACCTGTGAGATTAGAGCTTCATTATTAACAATACTTTGTACAATGAACTCATTCTGTACTAGCACGTGATGTTTGGCAGTGATGCTCATTGTAACCCCTCTCTCATGATCCTTCTCTGTATGCTATCCCTGCTAAACATGGGCTCTTGCATTTGCTTTGTGTGCCATCTATGTAAAATACAATGGTTTAGGTTTTAAATTGATATCCATCTTCATTAAGTCTGTGTTGACTGATCACTCACCATGTGCTAGGTTCTTGGACAGAGTGTAGTATTGAGAAAGTCGATGCGCTCAGAACTCACAATCCAGTAGGGAGAGCAAGATGTACATGTAATAGACTAAATCATCATCAAATCACTGTTTGACGCCTAATCACGTGGCTTGTATTTCGAGAGTAAATGTGTGGAGGCTTACCTGGTGGCTCACATGGTAAAGCGTCTGCCTGCAATGTGAGAGACCCAGGTTCGATCCCTGGCTCAGGAAGATCCCCTGGAGAAGGGAATGGCAAATCACTCCAGTATTCTGGCCTAGAGAATTCCATGGACAGAGAAGCCTGGCAGTCCATAGGGTTACAAAGAGTCAGATACAACTGAGTGACTCACAATTTTTCACTCTCTGTGAAGGGAGAGATTAGGGGGAGATAGGAGTATATTTAGGAAAAGTTTCCTGGAAGGTTGATACTTAATGCAGGTCTAAAATGAAATCTGCTGACACAGAACAACCAGGAGAAAGGAGAGCAGTCATGAAGAAAGAATAGAGAACAAGTCAAGTTACTTGCTCAGGAAAGATGAGTGGGACATGTTCTAAGAGAAACGCAATCCAGTTAAAAATTATGATAACATCAAAATGACCATGTTGGTAGTAATGAGAGATCAGTAGGAAGGCAGGTTAAGGTCAGAGGGCTCAGGGCCTTGATGGCTGTAAGGAGTTACTCTCCCGTCCTGCAGAGTAGCAGACAGTGGGGAACCATGGTCTGATGTTGAACAAGATAGCAGCATCTCAGAGTGGCCTTTTAGCAAGATGAATCTGGTGTCAGTGTCCAGGATGACTTGAAGATCAGTTGGGAAGCTGTTATGTGAAACCATGAGATGCTAGGTACCTGAAATAATCTGAGGAATCATGAAGGAATCAGCTGATAAGAGAAAGGAAGGCAGTGAATGGACACAGTGTGTGAGTGATGAGAAAGGGAAAGATATAGGAAAAATTAAAAACCAAGGCTTTTAAGTCCGCATCATCAAACAGATCATAATAATCATTGAAAAAAATAGGGATTCATTTGCTGAGTAACTAATTTATCAAAATTGATATAGCAAAACCAAGGTATTTCGGCTCATCAGAGCTTCTTCATTTAGCTTAAAAAATGAAAATTCTTTACAGGTGCTTCTTCCTGTTTACCTACCAATATAATCTTCCTTCCATCAGATGGTAGAATCCTACCTAGGCTTCCCTGGTGACCCAGCGGTAAAGAATCCGCCTGTCCATGCAGGAGACACGGGTTCAATCCCTGGGTCAAGAAGACCCCCTGGAGAAGGAAATGGCAACCCACTCCAGTATTCTTGCCTGGAGAATCCCACAGACAGAGGAACCTGGCGGGCTGCAGTCCGTGGAGTCACAAAGAGTTGGACACAACTTAGCGACTGAACAACAATAAAAGGATCCTTCCTGGCTTTCTCCTTTCCCCACTTTACTGGCTAGCATAAAAGTCAGGAAAGGCTTAGGAATAGGTGGTAGGAAGAAAAAGAAAAATATGTCTAAATATGTAAAAATGAACAGGGAAGTCAGTTGTTAATGATGAGGTAAAGTAGAAAAATGAATGTTCTCCTTTTCCTATGCTTCATAGCATATCAGCAGTCTCATTAGTTGGACTGATGGGGCAAATAGTATGTTGAATAATAAAATAAATATAAAAGCATTCTTACTATTTTAAAATTCAGAGTATTCTGTCATACCAAACGTATTAAGTATTTGTCAGGATATTGTATCAAATCAAATTGTCTAGCTATACTTTTATGAATTGATATAAATACTACCCAGCATATTAAATTTTTTACATAAATGAGAACTTCCAAAATGCCTAGAAAATAAGTTTATACATGTTCAACATTTCCCCCTATGATGTTCCTAGTATGTTTGCTAACAAACCCCTTTTGTACGTAGTAAATTTAGCTCATTCCTGATCCAATTCTTTAAAGTTCCAAAAATAAAGGAAACTAAATTCATTAATTAATACCAGCCAAGGGGCATTTAAGCATGTAATTCTAAAAATCAACTTTGTGAATTTTATATTACCAATTAAAAGATCAAAGAAGTGTCAGTCACAGGTCTGTGAAATTGAACAGATTAACGTTTAGATACAAAACTCTAAAAATTTGATTCAGTGCTTCTCATTGACTTAATAGTTAAAAATTAAGCAGGCACAAAAATATCACATCCCAAACCCAAAGCCTTGCTTGCAATAATATAAACAATCTTTTGTTAGCCAGAAAATCATAGTTTTATACACTAATATAATTTATACTCCTTCAAACAGTCTGTGTTCCAAGGGCTGTGGTACAGTTTCCAACTGAGAAGTTTTAAAGTGTAAATATCTGTGCTATAGCTTGGCCTCCCCTGGTGTCTCAGTTGGTAAAGAATCTGCCTGAAGTGCAGGAGACCCGGGTTCAATTCTTGAGTCAGGAAGATCTCCTGGAGGAGGGGATGGCTACCCACACCAGTATTGTTGGCTGGAGAATCCCATGGACAGAGGAGCCTGGCAGGCCCATGGGGGTTGCGAGAGAGTCGGACACGACTGAGCAACCAACATTCTACAGCTTGTCCTTTGCAAACACTTCTCTAGTCTAAGAAGGCTGAATTACGACAAAATAAATGAGCAAACCTAGTCTGCATTTACCACTGGACCTGTCTCAATCTATAATCTAATTGAGTAAGACGTAGAGAAGACAGCTTGGATCTAGACAGTTCAAGGTGAGTTCAGAGTCCAGGCACAGTACAGTATAGCACAGGTTCTTAACTTGATCTCAGCTTCTTTGGTTTTGATGCTATTGGTCAAGGTCTCAATGTTATCACAAACCTTTCTGAAATAAAAAGATTAGCCAGTCACCCAAGAAGGTTATTGTATATGGTTCTGCTAAATAAATTCCCCCAATCTGTGCCTTTGGGAAATTTCCTGCACCCTAGTTGCCAGCATCTGACAGTTGGCAGTCATTATAGTCTCACATTTTCTTTCTTTTTTTTTTTTTAGGATATCAGCATCTTTATTTTTTTTCTTTTTTTCATTTATTTTTATTAGGTAGAGGCTAATTACTTTACAATATTGTAGTGGTTTTGTCATACATTGACATGAATCAGCCATGAATTTACATGTGTTCCCCATCCCGATCCCCCCTCCCGCCTCCCTCTCCACCCGATCCCTCTGGGTCTTCCCAGTGCACCAGGCCTGAGCACTTGTCTCATGCATCCAGCCTGGGCTGGTGATCTGTTTCACCCTAGATAATATACATGTTTCGATGCTGTTCTCTCTAAACATCACACCCTCGCCTTCTCCCACAGAGTCCAAAATTCTGTTCTGTACATCTGTGTCTCTTTTTCTGTTTTGCATATAGGGTTATCGTTACCATCTTTCTAAATTCCATATATATGTGTTAGTATACTGTAATGGTCTTTATCTTTCTGGCTTACTTCGCTCTGTATAATGGGCTCCAGTTTCATCCATCTCATTAGAACTGATTCAAATGAATTCTTTTTAATGGCTGAGTAATATTCCATGGTGTATATGTACCACAGCTTCCTCATCCATTCGTCTGCTGATGGGCATCTAGGTTGCTTCCATGTCCTGGCTATTATAAACAGTGCTGCGATGAACATTGGGGTGCACGTGTCTCTTTCAGATCTGGTTTCCTCGGTGTGTATGCCCAGAAGTGGGATTGCTGGGTCATATGGCAGTTCTATTTCCAGCTTTTTAAGAAATCTCCACACTGTTTTCCATAGTGGCTGTACTAATTTGCATTCCCACCAACAGTGTAAGAGGGTTCCCTTTTCTCCACACCCTCTCCAGCATTTATTGCTTGTAGACTTTTGGATAGCAGCCATCCTGACTGGCGTGTAATGGTACCTCATTGTGGTTTTGATTTGCATTTCTCTGATGATGAGTGATGTTGAGCATCTTTTCATGTGTTTGTTAGCCATCTGTGTGTCTTCTTTGGAGAAATGTCTGTTTAGCTCTTTACGGCCTCGCATTTTCACAGGAGATGCATCACTGATGTAAAAGCTCATCACCCATTTGTACCACCATCCCAGCCTCTCCAGTGTTTTGGCTTTGCAGGAACTTGGAAGGGCAGGAGCCAACACCCCCTTCAGAAAACTCTTTGCTTAAATCAGGTGTCTTTGAATCCCAAACACATCATGCACGCTACTCAGAGCTTCTTGCCACCAGCCTGTCAACTGAAAATTTCCACACTTTTTTTTTCTTTGAGGGTTTCAGTACAGATCCCCCCTTTGTTTCATTTAAGGGAAACTGGGTCCCAAGAAGCAGCTCTAATTTGCCATGGCAGGCTGCACTGTAGGGAAAGGAGCACGCTCTCATTTCCTGCTGTTCTGTGGGGAATATTTCCAGAGGCGAATGCTCTTCTCCAGGGCTGCATACGCCTCCACATTTGTTCTTCTGGACAATAGACTTCTGTGCAAAATTAGAGCCTTCACTTGATGGACATTTTTAAAGCCATTGGCAGATAGTGCTCGATTTAGAAATTTCTGTGTCTTCAAGGAAGGAGATGCTTCAGGACAGAAAATATAAAGCATCACTTTGGACCTTGTCTTTTTACCATTCCACTGGAATAAAAGTGATGCCAATAGATGCAAAGCTTATGACCCGAATGTCTATTATTTTTGGACCAAGAAAACTCATGCCCTGTAGCTAAAGAGTATATTGCTGCTATTCAAGCAGGCGTCTCAGAAATCTGTTGTTTTCTGCTCAAAATGAGGGGCATCATGAAAAAGTATGCATTTTTCATTTACCTTTAGCCTCATTCCATTAGAAACAATTCAAACTGGATATTTTAAGAAGGATCTGCAGTGTTTTGATAGCTTTGACTTTACAGAATAATAGCAGGACTGAAGAAACAAATTGAACCTATTCAAGTTTAGAGAATTCTTTTTTCCTTATTTACTTTTTCAGAAGCAGGTTTTAGTGTAGTTAGCAATTATTACACTTCTACATGGGCTTAAGTCACAGGCAAAAGACAGTGCAGTGTGAGAGGGGGCAGGACGCACGTCAGTATTAAGAGCAGCTACTGCTTCCTAAGTAGGTGCTGTGTGGTCAGCACTGTTGTAAGGATTTTCCTTGTACTAGTTCATGCAACCCTCTCAACAGCCTATGAAATCTGCATTATTATCACGTTTACAGATAAGGGAGCTAAGGCAAAGTTAGCTGGCTTGCTCAAGGTCACACAATTTAGTGATGAAGCTGATGATCAAACACGGGCAACGTGGTCCAGAGGTTATGCTCACATATACACAGCTGACAGGAAGATAAAATGTGTATGTATATGTTTACAACCAACTGTATGATAATTAGTGTATAATCAGGGAGATAGGAAAGACTAGAGAATCTCTCCAATGTCATGCCTTCCAAAATAGACCCAGCTTGATTGAGTTACGACTGTGTCACAGCTGTAAATATACATATCTGGAAGAGCGACTCTGCCAATATCAGACTGATTATTGGAGGGGGGAAAAAAACCTCTACAAAATTTTTCTGAATGTTGTAATAATATGTGACTTTTCACCTCAGTACAAAGTAATAAACTACCACATTAAGGAACACAGTTTGTCTTAGTGCATTTAAGATTTCAGGCATCGGGATGTCTCTGGAGGTGGTTAAGACTCCCAACTCCCAAAACAGGGGGGCAATGGTTCGATCCCTGGTTGGGAAACTAGGATCCCACATGCCGTAAAACATGACCAAAAAGAAAGAAAAAAAAATTTTTTTTTTTTTCATTTTTGAAGCCAGGTGTTTTTGGTTTGACTGCAAGAGAAAATCAGAGATTTCCCTACAGTGAGATGCAAGTAGAATCACTAGAATGTCATACTTCACTGAAGAGTTTGTTAGAGACCCCCTTTCCCTGGAATAACCCTTAAGCCTATCACTCAAGGGCTGTGTATCAATGGCTTTGCATTGAACCAAAAATATTTCGAGAGCTTGCTTCTTTGTTTTAGGCTGGAAGCATATCGCCTTCTGAAGGTAATTACTTTTAAGATGGCTGTTTAATAAATTGTTACATCCTCAACAACAGACAAGGAAAAGAGTCATGTCAGAGATCGGCACCAGTTCTCTTAAACCATTGTGTACGGTGCTGTTCACTTTCTGGTCATTGATGAGGAGTCTCAGTTGATCACTAGTTTCTCAGCATCTGTTTTATTTTGCTTTTAACGTCTCTGTTTTAGGAGTAACTTTTTTTGTGATGTTTCTGTATGGTCTTTTCTTACAGCAGCAACCCAGCTCACAGGTACTACCTCGCAACCGACCCAGTCACAGGAGACTTGTATGTTTCTGACACTAACACCCGCAGGATTTACCGCCCGAAGTCACTCACGGGTGCCAAAGACTTGACTAAGAATGCCGAGGTGGTGGCAGGAACAGGGGAGCAGTGCCTTCCTTTCGATGAAGCCAGATGTGGGGATGGCGGGAAGGCTGTGGAAGCAACACTCATGAGTCCCAAAGGTACCGACCGGCATTTACCAACTGGAGGATTTCTTTTCATTAAAAAATTAAAAGGTGGAAAACCCAGTTAGGGCCTGGTTGTGTTTAATGCTGAGTTAACATTTTCCTCTCAGCTGTGTTCTGGACAGCCATTTCACATCTAGTGTTTTGAAAAGCCATTTAGTGTGAAACGGCTAAAATCCTAAAGTTGATTGTACAGTAAAGTCAACTGTAGGTTGATTTTACGTGCTTGGCATTTTTTATTATCATACCACTTTTTCCAACTTTTCAAGGAATCAAGCAACTACTCAGTATCATTCAGGTCACATCCTTTTCAGCTTCAGGGAAGTGTCCACATTCTTTCATTGTCCTGGAATTTGTTTGTCATGAATGAGTCCCAGGCCTCTCTGAGAACCATCACTAAGTGACCCTATTAGCCCTCACCCGGTTTGGAGCTACTAAACTTTTGTTTCTATGCCATGGGAAAAAAATGCTTGCTGTGATGAATTTCTGGAGGTAACAGGGGCTAAAAATTCTATGTGACAGGGGCCTCTAGCTTTTAAGTCAGTCGGAACTGACTCCTTCTTCATGTATTATGCCATTCATTACAGTGTTTTTCAGTTTGAGCCTTTTTTTTTTTTTTCATTATAGCTAGAGACTGTTATGTGAACATGGACTGGAAAGAAGTATTTGTTGTGCTGAATTATTCATCCTAGCAGATTTCATTCTAACAAGGTCAACAAGTTCAACAAAACACTAACCTTGGCTTAGATCTATGTTTGTTAGAATAGAGTTACTGTAAGTTGAGCATAACAGAATTTGACCTGTTTCTATAATTTATAGACAGCAACACTATATGGTGTTTATATTTTAAACATACGTACTACCCATATGATCCACATGCTCAGTACAGATTCTTACAAATTTTGGTTCTTTATTACATTTTACATTGATTTGTAATGTTTTTAAAAAAATGCCTGTGTTGGATTTTTTTCTAATGTGTTGGCAGTCTGCAGTCTTACCTCCTGTCTACTGCCCATGTTATTGATGTTAAATGTTGAGTTTAATGATGGGTGTGAGTGTTTAATTAAATCATTTTTGAAAGATTACTAACAGGTCCTCTCTTGGATACAGGAATGGCAGTTGATAAAAATGGATTAATCTACTTTGTTGATGGAACAATGATCAGAAAAGTTGATCAGAATGGAATCATATCAACTCTCCTGGGCTCTAACGATCTGACTTCAGCCAGACCTTTAACCTGTGATACTAGCATGCACATCAGCCAGGTAGTGAAAACGTTGCCCACAATGTCTGTTTTTCTTCTGAGTGACTTGATTTAGTGTCCACACACTGTGATAACACCATCGTAAACCACATGCGTCATGGCGGCGGACCTTGTGATAAAGCGCTTGCATTGATAATGTGTCTCCGGAGCTAATACAAAGTTATTTTCTTCTCCAGTTCTGCATTTGAAGAATTCAATGAAATACAGAACAATTATCACTAAGAAATGCTAATCATTTGTAATAAAATGCCATTAAAGCAGCATCATGCAGATATTCCAAGAAGAACAAAACCACTTAAATCTCTAAGCTTGTGATTACGTGAGGTCCTTAAGTAGTAGAGAGAACCCCCCTAAGATTAGTCCTCAGGGACTTCTGTTAAGAATTAGAAACTTTACTATTGGCCTGATTGAAAACACAGGAGAACACTAATGTATTCATAACCTAGAAAGCCCCAGCATTTGGTGACTGTTACTGCTGAAAGGAACTGTGTTCATATCTCACTGATATCTATTAACTCACTACTTAGAGGTTCATTTGCTACTTAGCTATAATCTGCAAAATCTTTCAGTGAGCTGCATTTTTAAATAAAATGTTATTTCTTCCATTTTTCTCCACTCCAAACATTTACATTTATTTCACTGTATATGTTTTAAAAACAATTTTAAAACTGTTTATCAAAGTAACGGTCATTTCCCTAAATGGTCTAATTTACTCTCCTGGCAAATGACCCGCATCTCAGCAACCAGACCATTTCTTTTTTTTTTTTTTTTTAACTCAGGTACGTCTGGAATGGCCCACTGACCTAGCCATTAACCCAATGGACAACTCCATTTATGTCCTGGATAATAATGTAGTTTTACAGATCACTGAGAACCGGCAAGTGCGCATTGCCGCTGGGCGGCCCATGCATTGCCAGGTGCCAGGGGTGGAATATTCCGTGGGCAAGCACGCGGTGCAGACGACCCTGGAGTCCGCCACTGCCATTGCTGTGTCCTACAGTGGGGTCCTGTACATCACGGAAACCGACGAGAAGAAAATTAACCGGATTCGGCAAGTCACCACCGACGGGGAGATTTCCCTGGTCGCCGGGATACCATCAGAGTGCGACTGCAAAAACGATGCCAACTGTGACTGCTACCAGAGCGGGGATGGCTATGCCAAAGATGCCAAACTGAGCGCTCCATCCTCCCTCGCCGCCTCCCCAGATGGTACCCTGTACATCGCAGACCTGGGGAATATCCGGATCCGGGCGGTGTCAAAGAACAAGCCTTTGCTTAACTCTATGAACTTCTACGAAGTTGCTTCTCCAACTGATCAAGAACTCTACATCTTTGACATCAATGGCACTCACCAGTATACTGTCAGTTTAGTCACTGGTGATTACCTGTTCAACTTTAGCTACAGCAACGACAACGATATTACCGCTGTGACTGACAGTAACGGCAACACCCTTAGGATTAGACGGGACCCGAATCGCATGCCAGTCCGAGTGGTGTCTCCAGATAACCAGGTGATATGGTTGACCATAGGGACAAATGGATGTTTGAAAAGCATGACCACTCAAGGACTAGAACTAGTTTTGTTTACTTACCATGGCAACAGTGGCCTTTTAGCCACTAAAAGTGATGAAACTGGATGGACAACATTTTTTGAGTAAGTATATCAAAATTCTACTCTGATTATAAATATTGTGATATAATAATATAATGAAAGATAATAACAGTATGATCCTTTTTCTGCCCTTTTTTGGAGGAGGTTTATTGAAGTATAGTTGGTTTACAATGTGTGTTTCAGGGCAAAGTGATTCAGTTGTGTGTGTATATATACACACACACATATATTCCTTTTCAGATTCTTCTCCATTATAGGTTATTACAAGATACTGAATATAGTTTCCTGTACTATACAGTAGGTCCTTGTTTATCTGTTTTATATATAGTAGTGTGTATAATAATAGTATAAGCTTAAGGGCAAGTGAGATCCAGGTTTTGGGAGGACCTGAAACTTCTATAAGTTGGGGATCCCTTTTTCTGGAGAAAGAAGACAAAATTAGCATCAGGGCCTTGGAAGGGACTCAGGCAAGTGGGGATCCCTGAAGCTTAAGTTTCATGACCATCGAGGTCAATCTACCTCTGCTTAAAGATTAATATTTTGCTTCATATAGACCTAATATTAGCAGGAAACTTTCATGGAAACATACTGCAGTCTTGGTTTTAGGCATAAACTTTTGGGCTTTATACTTACCCATGTGCTAAACCTGGCTATGTTAGCTGTCACTGAAGGAAAACTTTTTATTTTTTTTTTCAAACTTTTAACTTTTCATTTTGTGTTGAGTAAGGGCTTCCTTGATAGTTCAGTTGGTAAAGAATCCACCTGCAGTGCAGGAGATTCCCAGTTCAGTTCCTGGGCCGGGAAGATCTGCTAGGGGATAGGCTACCCACTCCAGTGTTCTTGGGCTTCTCTTGTGGCTCAGCTGGTAAAGAATCCACCTGCAATGCAGGAGACCTGGGTTCAATCCCTGGGTTGGGAAGATCCCCTGGAGAAGGGAAAGGTTACCCACTCCAGTATTCTGGCCTGGAGAAGTCCATGGACTGTAGTCCATGCAGTCACAAAGAGTCTGACACAACTGAGCAACTTTCACTCATAGCCGGTTAACAATGTTGTGGGCGTGTTCAAGTGAACAGTGAAGGAACTCAGCCATACGTATACATGTATGTATCCATGCATGCATGCTAAGTCGCTTCAGTTGTGTCTGACTCTTTGAGACCCTATGTATTGTAGCCCACCAGGCTCATCCATTCTCCCCCAAACTGCCCTCCCATCCAGGCTGGCACATAACATTGAGCAGAGTTCCATGTGCTTATACAGTAGGTCCTTGTTGCCTATCCGTTTTGAATGTAGCAGTATGCACATGATCTTCCCAAACTCCCTTGGAAGGGAAACTTTAAAAACATTTACAATGAACTTGGCTGATTCCATCAGTACCACATATAGAAAGGCTTAACTTTTTTTAAACATTTTATTTTGTATTGAGGTATAGCCAGTTGTTGTGATAGTATCAGGTGAGCAGCCTGATTCTATGGCTGAGGGATTCAGCCATACATATACATGTATCAATTCTCCCCCAAACACCCCTCCCATTCAGACTGAGACAGGCTATTGGAGAATCTGAACTCCACTGAAAAGAACCTTACCACTAAATGCAAATCAGAAATAGCTGGTCACTCTAAAAGCATAAAAGGAGCATCCAGCCAGGCTATTCTACTAAATTTGTGGAGGAATGGCCCAGCCAATGTGCTCTTTGAACAGTCACATTTCATGGACTTTGTAAAATCACTTTCCATTACTTGTTCATTCCACTGACATTGCACAAAGCATAAGGGGAAATTAGACGTGCAGAGATGGCATGTTGACAAATGCAAAATAGTCCTAGAAATGAATATCAAGGTCCTTAGTATGACTTCTACAATGAAATGCTGGAGCAAATGTACTTTCTGTAGGAACACACCTCTAAAATTATAATAAAAGTCAGTAGAAAAAAATGATCCAATATACAAATATTTTCCATGCAACTTTTCTGGAATAGAACCTGCACATTAGGCTTAGTTCTCCTGTAGCTTGGATTGCTTTTCTTTTTTGACAGATTCCCTTTTAATAAAATGAATGTTCCCCAGCAGCCTGATTTTGTCAGAGGAACAAACCTTTTCAATTGAATTACATTAAAATTCTGTTCTTAACATTCCTTTTGCTCATTTTGGGATCGCAATAGGAAAGGAATAAATTGGAAGTTAATGGCAAGCACTTCCTTTGCAGCGTTTTCAAAGTGATAGCAGGCTGTATTGCCAAAGAGACGAAAGAAGAGTATGCTAAAAGTGCCCCCATCGGATGAGACTGGGCGGGAGAACTGCTCTGATAAGATCTTCAGGAAATGATGGTGGCATTGGTAGGGTTTTGGTTTAGTTAAAAGCAGGGGGAAAATAGAGAAATAAGTTTGTAGTTCAGTCTAGGACTCAGTCTCTGCCCTGTGGGCTATTTTTGAATGTGTTCTTATTTGTTCCTGGGAATTGACAATGCACAGAAGTTCGTCACATGGGTTACTACTGACTGAACTTCTGCAATACATATACAGCCTCACCAATGACCTAGGCTGAGAAGTGGGTATACTCCATTTGTGGAGTTAATGTGGGATAGGTAAACAAATTTGGAGGGACTTCCTCGGTAGTCTAGTGCTTAAGACTGCAGACTTCCAATGTAGGGGGTGTGTGGGTTCGATCCCCAGTCAGGAAACTAGCATCCCACATGCTGCGTGGCATGGTCAAAAAATAAATCAAAAGCAGTGTTTCTGTTAATTTTCCTCTAGATGTTTACCGCAAAGACAAGATTAAAACATTTTCAAGAAATATTTATGCACCCTGCAAAACAGTGTATTACCATACAAGACAGGAAAAAAAAACAGAGCACTTAACCTAGATAATTCAGAACCATTATATCAGAATGACAAAGGATTTTTTTCTTATATATAATTATAATAATATAATCATAGCATAATTATATAGTCTTATAATTTAGCTGTGAATGAGGAAGGGCCCACCCTTTTAAATGTGAGAAACTGTAAAACACATTTCTCCGATACTTTGGAGGATTCCTTGGCATTTGTCATTATTAGTGAGCTGGCAGATTCCAGAATCCTAGTTCATGTCTGTAATACTTGCCCTTGTATTCTGATAGTACCACAGGTCTAATTTGGACATTATAAGGGATGTGGTTGTTCAGTAGCTAAGTCATGTGTGACTCTTTACAACCCCACGTGCACACCAGGTTTCTCTGTCCTTCACTATCTCCCGGAACTTGCTTAAATTCCTGTCCATTGGGTCAGTGATGCCACCCAACCATCTCATCCTCTGTCGCCCCCGTCTTCTCCTTCCCCCAGTCTTTCCCAGCATCAGGGTCTTTGCCAGCGAGTCGGCTCTTCACATCAGATAGCCAAAATCTTAGAGCTTCAGCATCAGCCCTCCCAATCAATATTCAGGGTTGATTTCTTCTAGGACTGACTGGTTTGATCTCCTTGCAGTCGAAGGGACTCTCAAGAGCCTTCTTGAGCACCACAGTTCAAGAGCATCTGTTCTTCGGTTCTCAGCCTTCTTTATGGTCCACCTCTCACATCCATATATGACTACTGGAAAAAACATAGCTTTGACTATACAGACTTTTGTCAGCAAATTGATGTCTCTGCTTTTTAATACACTGTCTTGGTTTGTCATAGTTTTTCTTCCAAGGAGCAAGTGTCTTTTAATTTCATGGCTGCAGTCACTGTCCACAGTGATTTCAGAGCCTAAGAAATGAAAAATAAATGTCATTGTTTCCATTTTTTCTCCATCTATTTACCATGAAGTGATGGGACTAGATGGCATGATCTTGGTTTTTGAATGTTGAGTTTTAAGCCAGCTTTCCCCTCTCATTTTTCACCTTTATCAAAGAGGCTCTTTAGTTCCTCTTCACTTTCTGCCACAAGGGTGGTATCATCTCCATATCTGAGGTTATTGATATTTCTCCCGGCAGCCTTGATTCCAGCTTGAGCTTCATCCAGCCCGGCATTTCACATGATGCACTCTGCATAGAATTTAAATAAGCAGGGTGACAATATACAACCTTGACGTACTCCTTTCCCAATTTGGAAACATTTCATTGTTCCATGTCCAGTTCTAACTGTTGTTAAAGTTGTGGTTGGTAAGCATTTCTTTATAAAGAAGAGTCTGATAAAACCTATAGCTGACTTCGTTGGAAGTGCATGCGTGTGTGCTCAGTTGCTTCAGTGGGGTCCAACTCTTTGCAACCCCATGGACTCCTCTGTCCATGGGATTGTCCGGGTAAAAATACTGGAGTAGTTTGCTGTGCCCTCTTCCAGGGAATCTTACTGACCCAGGGATGGAACCTGCATCTCTTAAGTCTCGTGCATCGGCAGGCAAGTTCTTTACCACTAGTGCTACCCGGGAAGCCCTCCATTGGAAGAGTATCATGTAAATATTTGCTTTCTGAAATAGTTCAGACCTTTCCATACCAACAGTTAATGCTGAAAATATTAACACTTCTCCATTTTGTTGTTGATTTTTTAAGAATGTATTTACCTATTATTACATATTTACTGTCTTTTGTTTTATAAAATAAGGACTTCCTCAGTTGACCTCATTATTAAATAATTAACAAAAAATTAAGGCTCCATATTGATAGCACTTTCTTCTGAAATGTTGGGGGTGAAGAGTTGAAAACAGAGAATGTTTCCCATGCAAATACTGTTAAAGTATACTGCTGCACCTTATAGCAGGAAGAATGGCTCCAGGAAAATAAAACCCAATTCTAAACTTGAAATTCTTCACCAGTATAATAGAGTGACTTTTCAGGGTTCACAGGGACTTTCCAAAGCAAAAGAACTTTCATTTCAGAAACTGGAGGTACCGTCATCTTCTGGGCAGCAGTCTATCTCCATGTTATTTGTTCTTTTTGTATCCCTACCGTGATTCCTTACAGAAGTGGCCAGTATTCTTAGACACACTACAGATGGTCTGTTAGGAAGACAACAGCGGGTGTCAGGTCATTGACAATCCAGCTCTGAGATCCCTGAATTAGACTAATATGTGTCCTGAACAGAAGACTTC